AGTTTCAACGGAGAGAGAGAGAGAGAGAGAGAGAGTCTCGGCAGCCTGTGCGGGGTGTTCCGCGCAGCCCGCCGAGACTCTCGAAATGCACAAAAGACAAATCATGGCGGTGTATCTGTCCATGTTCATGCAGATGATTCACTCTCGTTTTGCACATTTCGAGAGTAGTGCAGCGAGGCTCTCTCTCTCTCTCTCTCTCTCTCTCTCTCTCTCTCTCTCTCTCTCTCTCTCTCTCTCTCTCTCTCCATCCGCAGCCCAAAGACGGAATTTCTTTTTTTTTGGGAAGAAGAATTGTGATTTTTTTATTTTTTATTTTTCTTGTCTACCTACCGGTAGCTCGAGGCTCGCCAAGGTTCGGATTACCGGTAGGCTGCGGCACGGGCCTTGACAACCGGCAGGTACTGGTGGTTTAACACTTGGCATGCCCATGCAAAGAAAGCTTCCCGCCAGAATCTTTATAATCGGTTGGGGGTGTGGCCAACCCCAAAAGAGGGTGGGGTCGGCCATAGGGCCACTGGATAGAAGATTTTCAGTGTTTTACTTGCTGTTGTGCAAATTGAATTATCTCATTGGGTGGAGCCCTCCTTCAATCACAGAGTATATGGCGGGTGTCAGGATCACTGCTGACAGAAGTCGAGTTTATTCCAGGAAAAAAGTGGCAGTTACTTTGTTCACTGTTGTTGCAACCACCACCATCAGATCATTTGTGATCTGATGGCTGGGAAGCACTCTGCCGTGATTTCCGGTGGGAGGTCTCTGTTTCTTTTTTTTTCTTTTGCCTTTCTCCTGTTTTTTCAGCCCAGAAATCCGTAATGAACCTGTCAGCCCGCCGCCACTCAGTGTCACACTGGATCGCCCACACTCCTCTCCGACTGCTAATGGGACCTCGCCCCAGGACATCCATTAAAATTGGAACGATAAAAGAAAAGGAAAAAAAAAACTGGAATGATACAAGAAAGTTAAGCATGGCCCTGTGCAAGGGGACGAAACACATACATTGAGAAACGGTGCAGATTATTATTAAAGAAAAAGGGGACAATTTCCAAAATGTGGGGTAGAGCGAAATTGCCCTTTGAGCGAAAATTGAAGTTTGAACCGTCCTCTTATCTTGCTGTTCCTGCCTCTTTTTTTTTTTTTTTTTTTTTTTTTTTTGGTGGAGGTGAACTGTTCCTGCCTCTGCTACACCGCCATCCCTTATTCTAGCCCCCCTCCTCTCCCCCCACCCCCTGCTGCCACCTCCACACCCCGTACCTGGTCTTGTCCTACGTTATTATTTCCTCTCAGTGGGCCAAGCAAAAGCAACCCCCTCATGCATATGCATCAAGTGAGTTCTATCAATGAAGATTAAGGTTAAGTACTTGTCAGCATGGGGAAAAGGGCCCACTGGCAGGCAAAGCTCCCGCAAAAGATGCAAAGTGTGAAGACGCTGTGCTCAACGATTTTATTGCAACGAACGAGCTCAGTTGCCAATAAAATTGTTTCGGGGCCTAAAAATAAGTTTTTTTTTCTGTATTGTTTTTTGTGCTTTCTCTATAATGTAACCTACACGCCTTTTACTTTTGAAGCCATTCTGTCTAGCCAAAAAAACATTAAAAATCGTCAAAGATGGGGGTGTCAAAACGTGCTCGCCCACTCACTATTTTGTTTTTGTTTCACTTTTAACTTTTTGTTATCACTTTATTTCGGGGCCTAAAACATTTTATTATTTTTTGAAATTTTTTTAATGAGGTATTGATTATTTAAACTACATGTCTGTAAATTTTCAGGGCATTTGTCGATGCCAAAAAATAATTAAAAATCGGCAAAGATGGCGGTGTCGAAAAGGTGCTGGGACACTCACTCATTTTAATTCTCTTTTTATTTTTTATTATTTTTATCATAGTGTTTATTTTCTGTATTTGATTTTTAATTCAAATTTGGTAACGAATTTGGATACAGTGCCCAGGCAAATGTTGTTTAGTTTATTTTTCTCCATAACATGTTTTGTTTTCGAAATTTGTTGAAAAGGTTTTTTTTTTTTTTTTTTTTTGGTCCGCGTTCGGCCTGAACGGCCGAACACCTTCCGAAGGGGTCCCGTACGTTCGGGCGTTCGGGTTCGGGCGTTCGGCCCGTCCCGAACTGCTGGCACTTAGACGGGAACTACGACTGAAACGTTTTCCAGGGTGGATGTTCCTGAAGGCCCTGGAGGATTTCTCCGCCAATAACCGGGGGGTGCTGGTACAAATGGGTCCGATTTTTTTCAGAGGGTCTGAGAAAAATACGGTACAGACCGAGATGATTTTGTCTATTCAGATCGAGTGAACACCAGACAAAATTCAGCCTATCGCAGGGTATCAGCTCCCTGCACTCCACTTTTGTCTAGCGTGGGCTTCATCTGCTGTGGATAGAAGAAACGACATCGCCAGGATCGCTGGCTATCACGACGAGCGAAAGAAACAGCAAGCAGAGAAAGGCTGTCATGTCAACCTCACCACTTCTCTCACGAACGCGTCTCCTCTGGATTTTTCCCGCCGCTCGAGTATCCAGGTCGCTTAATCTCTTTCCCGTAAGCGCTCTTTTTTTCTCTCCGTCAGATTCTTTCATGATCTCCCAACCCTCTCTACCTCTCAAGACTGGTTTCTTCTACTTCCCTCATTTTTTCCACCTCTGAGTCTTTTTCCCGCTTCTACCTGACAAACCAATATCTGCTTTTGCTCTTCCCGTCCTCTCTGAAAATGTACTTCTCCTCTATTCACTTCTACCTCCCTGCTGAATCTTGTCCCATTCAAGGTTGTCGAGATGATACGCACGCATGCAGGGTTATCGTTTACTCAAGGTTTGGTGTGTTTGGACGAGTGAACGACAGCAGTTACCCCTGATGATGGCCACTCCGGCGAGGTGGCCAAAACTAGTCGGGTTCTTCGCCGACCGTGCTCCTCGATTGTATCTCTAAATTTTTCGGAAGCATGGTTCTTATTGCGCTTTTTACAAGTGTTCTTCCTGCTTTCTTCATCTCCTCTCTCTCTCTCCTCTCTCTCCTGTCTCTTATACACATCTAGATGTGTATAAGAGACAGGGCAGAGAGAGAGAAGAGGACAACAAACGAGGGGCTGTGACAAACTGTTTTGTCAGAGTTTCACCGACTCATCAGGAGGCTGAACCCTCAACAGTCTGCAGAATCCCCTCACTGATTACACTGTAAATGATAATCTACCATAACCAAAATCAAAGTAGACTATCACTCACCCACACCAGATGGAAAACTCTACAGACTGTCGGTTCACACCCCATCACAAGCCAGCAAAACATCCACGAAATAAAGAAAGGTCTGTCACAGCCAAAAAATACACTCCAGACATATATATATATCGCTTCGAAAACGGGGTGTTGCTGTAATGATCTTCGCATCACGTGTTTTGAGCTTTGCTTGACCAACGCGTGCAGGCTTCGACTCTTTGTCTTCGCGTAGCGTGTTAACCACCGTGTGTACCGCGGAGTGGTGGAGACGCCGGCTCTGGACAATGTTATTCCAAGACGATCGCAGCGACAAGCTTCCTTCGACGGCTTCAGTCTCATTCTTCCGAATCTCTATGCTAGTTCGTACGTCATAGCTCGATCACCGTGTATTTTTCCTTATTATTATTTAATCATTATTATTATTTAGTTATTTATCTTCTGCTGCGAGATCTTTTCTTCTCCTTGGTTGGCGTACGGATGCGCTTTGTAGGCAGGTAGTCGAAGAGCTTATTGTTTTAGGAGAAAGTGTACGCTTCACTACTACACGTCGTGCAGGATGGCGGATGGGGGTTATGGTGGGCCGAACCGCAATTGTTACAATTGCGGGTTGTATGGCCATTTCGCGCGTTGGTGTCCCTACCCACCACGAAACAACGGGTATGTAGGATCGCCAAGGGGTGATGGACAGGTGGCATCGGGTTCGGGAGCTAAATCCGTTCCACTACGGAACGAGGGTTTTGTACAAGGGCGTCCTATCCTACCACCTCCTCAGCCTCCGTACGTGCATGGTAAGCAGGCGCCAAGTAATCAAGCAGCACGCCAGCCCTCGGCTCAGATTGATGCGCTTCCACCTCCATTGCTACAACAACAGCGATTTCGTCAAAACGAACATTTTATATTTTTTGAACGAAATTGAAATTGTCATTTTTGAGCTGATTTAGGTGCAAAAACCATTACAAAGAGATGTTTGGTATATGGGGTAAGGTGTAAGGTGTAAGGTGTAAGGGGTGAGGGGTAAGGGGTAAGGTGTAAGGGGTAAGGTGTAAGGGGCAAGGTGTGAGGAGAACGGGGTAAGGTGTAAGGGATATGTGGTAAATTGCAAGGGTCAAGTGGCACAGCGTATCGAGTAATATTTGACACCTTATATACATTGTTTTTGTCACAAACCATCTTGTGGCATCCCCCCCCCCCTCCAAATCATATTATGGATTATCATATACACACTACTCACGAGCCATTGTGTCCAAAGCCATTTGACGACGTATCGCGGGTATCTCATCAGCAGTGAAAACGAAAGGTGGAAGTTGGCCCCGTGCCAAGAGTGATGCGCACGTGAGCACAAAGACCTCGCACTCGTTCGTGTCGTGTTGCTTCGGAATGCCCTCTACATTCCATATGTGATTGAATGGTTTCGTGTCCACCTCTTTGCCTTGCGATTTCGATCTTTCGAATATAAACTTTGCAAACCCGCCGGTCACCTTTCTCGCCAACTCCATGTCGGGGTCGAGGGAGTCGTAAAATTCGAATTTCCTCCTCCTGAAGTCAGCCACGACAAGGGTCCAGTGGTTCTTGTGTTCGATATGGAAAGGAGCAATAATCAAGTCCATGTCACTTATGATAACGTCCTGACACCAGCGCTCTACCTCTCGACCTCTATATCTCATTTCATTGTCGAAAAGTTTGACGAACAAAAATGAGCTCAGCACCGATACTCTAGGAATGCGACCCTTTCCTTCTCTAATAACTATCTCATTCTCCGCGTCGCATTCTACGTGTTGTATTCTACACCAGTTGTCCAATGCTATGAGATTGAGGTAAAAGTTGATGACATTGTCGTTTAACCACTGACGTTCTACAGCGAGTAAAAGAAAATCGTTGCGAGTGAGCTGCAACACCTCGTTCATGTATACGTCGTGTGTGGTGGCTATGGGATACCTATTCCCGTATTCGCGGATGATACGCGTCAAGGCTGCCGTCTCCCTCTTTGATAAAGACGAAGTTGCGAGATGCATTGTCCATCCTCTTTTACACAATCTTGTATCAGTTGTTGTCATTTGCACTGCACACCACAAACACGAGGAAGACGACATTCACGCGGGCGGATGGGGAAAGGATGGTGAGTGCATGGCCAAATGCTTTGTGGGAGCTAATGCATGCAACGCATGTTTTCAATGTTTCTCTAATCTTTTACTTGCGTTTACGACATTCACGTATACAATCAATCATTTATTCCTCGCACCTTGGGCACCCTCATTGCATACGTCCGCATACACACATCCAAGTCGGAACGAGAGAGAGAGAGAGAGAGAGAGAGAGAGAGAGAGAGAGAGAGAGAGATCCAAGTCCGAATACATCCGCATACACACATCCACGTCGAAAAGGGCAAGTATCCTAAACATCTTAGGTCGAACGTAATATTGAGGGAAAAAATATATATACATAAACGAAAATCAGCTGGTCGAAGACTAATACTAGTTTCATTTGAAACTAAAAACAAACGAAGACTAATACTAGTTTCATTTGAAACTAAAAACAAACGAGTCAATTGTGCGATTTCAATCAACAAAGAAAAGAATAACATTGTAATCATATCGTTGTTTTCTCCCTCTCCGTTGCCCCCCTCCCGCCTCACCGATCATTTCACACTCCCCTCGTATTGACCACGTCATTTCCACCCTCACCCCCATCATCAAAATCATCGGTTAAGGTATCAAGATTGCGAGGATGGAGGACTCCCTCCTCATCCCCTCCCTTCCCACCATCGGCAGCGGCCCCTCCCTGTGGTGTCAGCGGTGATTGTGCATCACCTTTGCCTGTGCATAACTCCGGTTGCAACTGACTGTCCGGCATGCTCAGGCCAACACATGACTCTGACTGCATTTCGGATGTGCCTTCTAATGCGGCGCATGTCAGTAATAAACTCCCGTACGTCGCACCCGCATCTTACGACAATGCTTTTGCCCCATCCATGCGTTCAGACAGTTTTGTCATGGCAACGGAGATTTGCGGCATAGACGTCATGTGAACCTCTTGAGTCTTCACCACAGTAGTCCCGTCATCCTCCCTCTGCCCTGCCTGCGTGGGTACGGGGGGCGATGCCGACAAAGGCACGACATCCTAAGAGCTGCTCTCCTCCATAGTTTCGATAGTTTGATTGACCTTCCAGTCGATTGACCCACATGAGGGACTCGTTGGCAGGGCGTAAAATTTCCAGCTGTACTCCAACTGCTGATTGTCTCGCAATACAGAAAACAATTCTTTGGCCTTGTCTTTGACAGCGCCTTCGCTCTGCCCCGGATTTTCCTTTTGCACGCGATACATAATCGCGAGTTCCATCGTTTTCAACCAAGTGTCCTTTGACATCCGGCGAAACGTCTGCCATCCGCGTGTGTATTTGACCGCCATCTTCCACTCCCCATCTTGGATGCAAGGCTCAAAAATGCCCTCATGCCACACGATGTCATGGCCCCACTTGTCCTCACCAGTGCGGGCGTGTTTGCCCCCCAAGAAATAAATTGTGGCCGGATCAGCACAATAGCCGGGAGGAATTGGATCGTCTGGTGCGAGCTTCGACGCCTCGCCTGGCATATCAATGTCATCTTCATCATTGGGACCACATATTCCCATGTTTGGCAAACCGGTGCCCTCCATGGGGGCCACCATCGAGCCAACACTGTGGGTGGCCACCGGTACGGGTCTTTCATGCGAGCGAACGGTCCCTTCATCGTGTGACCGCACCATGCCACTGGTCGGACCTTCACCACCCTTGTCCTTGTCCAATTTGAGGTCGGACTCCGAAGAGTCTTCCTCGTTGTCGACGGGGTTAAAGACGTCACCCGATTTCGTGAGGTCAGCATAGTCCTTGGACGTCAGCTGGTCTTTATGAAGATCGAACTTCAGGATCTCGCATCGAGCAACAAAAGTCTCAAAGGCGCCAGTAAGAGCACCGTGGTAATGTTTCAGGGTCTTCGTCGCCTTTGCTTTCCTGTAGATGTAATTCCCGTCAAGCCGTCCTTGCCGCGCATCGCGGAACAGGTATTCCCACACCTTCAGTCTCTTTCGTCCCAACTTGTGGAACATGTCCCTGTTGCTACGATGTTTGCAACGTGGCTTCTCGACATGACAGTCGAATCTCTCATCCTTCACAAGTATATCGACGAACTTTGTCAGATATGCGATGTCCTTGGCCGACTCGTCGCAGTCAATGACATTATTACCTGCCAGTAATAACTCCCACACAAGACCTGCGTGCGCTCTACCCAACAAAAGCACACCTTCCGCGTCTCCAACAAATGACCCGCACAACGAACGTAACTTTCCAGGTTCTCGCTCCCAGATGGAATACACCGCACTATCATCGCCCTCTATCCCACCGTGTTTTCCTTGACACTTCCCGAACTTCTCCTCCACAACGTGCACGGTTGTGAGGTCGTTGTGGAGTCGGGGTTTGACAGTTACTTTTTTCAGATCCCCTCTCTCGGCGTGCAGGACAATGGTCATCATATCTCGACTCGTTGTAGCCATATTGCCATATCGTGTGATGTCGTTCGGTGGCCTGTCCACCCGTTTCCAGGTCCCGGGGATGACTTCGACGTCCTCCCAGCGGAACAAGTGACGCAGAACATCGCTTTGCACCTTCTGCGGCGCAAAGAAGAAAAACACCCAATTCTGGCCACAACACTTGTTCATCAATGTGTGCAAGGCATCAAATTCGTGAGAGGTCCACGCCGTGCTGAAGTTCGAGGATTGGATGTCCAAGATGGCGGCCCTGCATGTCATTTTTTGCATTGCAGCGACAATGTCGTCTGGCGCTGCCAACACTTCCTTCGATGGCATGCACACAGGTAGCAACGTCGTTTGTTTGCCAAGTTTGTCCCACACAATATGACGGGCACTGGAGGCGATCCGTTTCACCTCGGCGCGAAGCAAATCGAGCTTATTGATTGCAGTGTATATGAAGACCTTAAGGTGAAACGGAGCCTCCTTATACATTGTCGTCGTAGGCCCCAAGCCCGCACCTTGCCTTGCCTCCTCCACTCCTCCAAGTCGTCGAGGGACCATCTTCACCTTATTGACATGTAACTTGTCCCGTTCCTTCTCCCATTCAGCAGCGCACAGACCGTTTGGCCCATACCTGTCTTCAAGGTCCTTGTACGACATGAAGAACGCGTCGTTCCATTCGTCGTTTGCCCTTCTCTCGGCGCGGAACAGAACATAATTGAACATACGCACCATGTACCGCTCCTTTCGCATGATGTCGAGGAGGCACTCTGTATTCACTCTTGGAGGCAAGACCTTGACGTTCGTTGCGACCACCTTCCCCTTCATGAGCAGGAGCAACGCAACCTCCCTCTCACGACATGTCAAATCCCCAAAATTTTTGAAGTAGGAAGGACAGAGATCCTTCCACGACACGGTGGAGCCTTTGGGACCATCTGTTGCATATATGCAATGGTACAATGTTCTTTGTTTCTTGGTCTCGTCAGTGTACGGGCCTGACAGGCGGCCTTCCATCCTCCCGGGCATGTCAAGCGGGATTTTGCCATCGCCAACTGACAGCTTTCCTTCGTTGAACATCTCGAAGAACCTCTCGATCAGCGGCCACACTGCGTCAATGGATGTGGCGAGGTTCATTTAGCCCCGGAGTTTATTACTCCAATCCTTACTGTACTCATTCTCGAGCGCTTGCTTTACAAACGCCTTGTCGCATGCCTTCCCCATGCAGGCCCTCAAGAAGTTCTGCCACGTCTTCTGATGTGCAACGACCACCGCATCCTTCTCGCTGACCTTGGCTTTCGGGGCCTCGATTCTATTGTTGTCTATCCGCCATTGCCTGATGTCACGGACAGCGTCCTCGAATGACAACATCATGGAGCGATTTTTTCGTGTGTTGTCGAAGCAGGAGACATTGAAATACCCTCGTGTTTGATCATCTCTGAAATAGACGACCCGCACCTTAGAGTACGCGTAGAGGCCATAGACTTTAACTGTCGGGGAGTCCTTTCTGACCAATCTCTTTATGGCATCAACGGTATGCTGACCACAGACAGCGTACCAGTCAAACTCTGCTGGGTCCCTTTCCAAGAATTCGGTCGGTGTGATCCGTCTTCCCTGGCCGCCGACAATGTCATGGCGGTCAACTGGCGCAAGCACGAGCTCGGGCCTATCCCACGCCCCCGGGTCCGTGCTGACGGAGTTTTCGATGGCATTCTCGATGCCCCGCACAATGTTTTTAGACAACGAGCGGTGGTTGAAAAGAATCCTTCCGCGGGGAATATGTTTTATTCTCATGACGTCCACGTGAAGAGCATGGACGTCTTGCGTAGCAAAGCCTTGGTCATCATATTCGAGGAAGAAACAACGCGTAGTGTCGATGGGCRCGACGCGCTGAACCGGCTCATCAGCATCTTCAGGCATGCGAGGATCCACTCCCTCGCCCTCATCKCCCGAGTCCCGCAGCTCYTGTGGTCTCACCCTCTGGGAGCCTTTCCGCGCCCCGCCACGGCCACCGCCCCCACGGCCACCGCCTTGACCCCCAGATCGCCCCCCTTGGCTGTTTTTCCGAGGAGGCCGCGCCTCCTGGGACGCTGTCAAAGCTCCACGAGCCTCATTGACAGCGTCAGTCCTGGCTTGCCTCTTGTGAGTAGAAGCAGACGGAGAAGTCTCCCTTGTCCTTTTCTTCGCCTTCGGTCCTTGCATTGCATGTGAGTCGTGNAGACGGAGAAGTCTCCCTTGTCCTTTTCTTCGCCTTCGGTCCTTGCATTGCATGTGAGTCGTGCCCACCCTTACTCCTGCTTTGCGATAGCGAAATCCCACGGGACGTCGAGGGCTGACAACGTGCGGCTCCCACAGCGCCGACGGGCGAGATGTCATGACCATGCATTGGCGTGTCGGCGTCCTCGTCAGCAAGCGCGCCCCGGTCCTGCATGTTGTCATCCCCAACTTCCACATCTGCTTCATTACCTCCGTCTTCATGCGGGCCGACACTTCCTCCTTCCTCGTCCTCGTCGTTGTCCTCGTCCAGGGCAATTGCACTTCCCTGAGAATTTTCACGGCCAACATTGCGCTTGTGCAAAAGCCTGTCATCAAACTCCGTTGCCTCGCTTGAACCTTGAGCAAAATCACGACCTTCCCTCACGGAGGGCGAGGGAAGATTTGCGTCCGACGGCCCACCCGGCAACTGCTTTGTCTTCCCTGTCGTCACGGACGGCGTTTGTCGCCTGCTCTTGGAACCCGCCTCGAAGGGCAAAAAAACACAGTCTGCTTGCTGTTCTGGCGGCAACTTCGAGAGGTCTTCCCTGTACCGCTTAACCACACCTGGCAGCAGGTCCATCGGACTGTTGAATTGGACCAAAGGTTCGCTCATCCTGAAAGAACTGTCGATGACAGGAAGGCAGCCAGTGACGTGGTTAGAGTTTGTTTTGCTGAGAAATTCTTAAGGAGAAAGCATGCGGAATTCAGTTCCGTCCCCACGCACGTCAAACGCTTTCATGGAGAATGCCTTGACGCCGTATCCTTGGAAGAGACGCAGGTCAAGGGAGACCTTCTTGTTTTCCTTGACCCAGTCTGTCCGAGCGCTGTCGAAGACGGACGTGAGGAAGAAGGTCTTGAACGTCCTCCCTTCGTAGGTCTTCCTGCCCACCTCAGATTTCTCCACACCCCCACAACAGTACCAAGTGGCTCCATTGTCATTGCTCAAGAAGATAACAGCCCCACACCCCGGTTTATGCAAACCGCCTACCTAGTCAAAAGAGCCCACGGTTTGTTGTTGTAAGTCTTAGACCTGCCGTACCGTTTATTTTGAGCAGAGGTCGGCGCACCAGATTTACCTGCCGGGTGCAAAGGCAAAACAAAGACGGGCAGGAGAACAGCAATGAGCAACACACAGAAGCACTTGCACGTGGTCCGAGACATTCAAGAAGGCACGTGACCCGCCATACGCCCGCCATCCTTTCGGCAAGGGGATCTTGTGAAATCGGGAACGCTGCATACCAGACAACCGTGCATGGTCGAGGGGGCAGGGCAGTTCCAATCCGCCAGACCCGAGCGTGCACGGGTGTCGGAGGTCCGGCGTTTCCAATCCGCCGGACCCCCGTATGGAAAGGGGGCGGAGGGGGCAGGGCGGTTCGGGAACGCCGAACCCCCGACCATGCACGGGTGTCAGTGGTCCGGCGTTTCCAATCCACCGGACCCCCCCACGGAAAGGGTGGAGGGGGTAGGGCGGTCCGGGAATGCCGGATCCCCGACCGTGCAGGGGTGTCGGAGGTCCTGCGTTTCCAATCCGCCGGACCCCCGTACGGAAAGGGTGGAGGGGGGTAGTGCGGTTCGGGAACGCCGGACCCCCGACCGTGCATAGGTGTCGGTGGTCCGGCGTTTCCAATCCGCCGGACCCCCCACCGTGCAGGGGTGTCGGAGGTCCAGCGTTTCCAATCCGTCGGACCCCTGTGTGGAAAGGGCGGAGGGGGTAGGGTGGTTCGGGAACGCCGAACCCCCGACCGTGCACAGGTGTCGGAGGTCCGGCGTTTCCAATCCACCGCACCCCCGTACGGAAAGGGCGGAGGGGGTAGGGCGGTTCGGGAACGCCGGACCCCCGACCGTGCACGGGTGTCGGTGGTCCGGCGTTTCCAATCCACCGGACCCCCGTACGGAAAGGGTGGAGGGGGTAGTGCGGTTCGGGAACGCCGGACCCCCGACTGTGCATGGGTGTCGGTGGTCCGGCATTTTCAATCCGCCGGACCCCCGTATGGAAAGGGCAGAGGGGGTAGAGCGGTTCGGGAACGCCGGACCCCCGACCGTGCATGGGTGTCGGTGGTCCGACGTTTCCAATCCGCCGGACCCCCGCACGAAGAGGGTGGAGGGGGTAGTGCGGTTTGGGAACGCTGGACCCCCAACCGTGCACGGGTGTCGGTGGTCCGGCGTTTCCAATCCGCCGGACCCTCGACCGTGCACGGGTGCCGGAGGTCCGGCGTTTCCAATCCGCCGGACCCCCGTGCGGAAAGGGCGGAGGGGGTAGGGCGTTTCCAATCCGCCGGACCCCCGACCGTGCACGGNCGGAGGTCCGGCGTTTCCAATCCGCCGGACCCCCGTGCGGAAAGGGCGGAGGGGGTAGGGCGTTTCCAATCCGCCGGACCCCCGACCGTGCACGGGTGTCGGAGGTCCGGCGTTTCCAATCCGCCGGACCCCCGTGCGGAAAGGGCGGAGGGGGCAGGGCGGCTCGGGAACGCCGAACCCCCGACCGTGCATGGGTGTCGGTGGTCCGGTGTTTCCAATCCGCCGGACCCCCGATCGTGCACGGGTGCCGGAGGTCCGGCGTTTCCAATCCGCCGGACCCCCATGCAGAAAGGGCGGAGGGGGTAGGGTGTTTCCAATCCGCCGGACCCCCGACCGTGCACGGGTGTCGGAGGTCCGGCGTTTCCAATCCGTCGGACCCCCGTGCGGAAAGGGCGGAGGGGGCAGGGCGGCTCAGGAACGCCGGACCCCCGACCGTGCACGGGTGTCGGAGGTCCGGCGTTTCCAATCCGCCGGACCCCCGTGCGGAAAGGGCGAAGGGGGCAGGGCGGTTCGGGAACGCCGGACCCCCGACCGTGCACGGGTGTCGGAGGTCCGGCGTTTCCAATCCGCCGGACCCCCGCACGGAAAGGGTGGAGGGGGTAGGGCACAACAAAATGATCGCCCCATCATTCACGGCATCTCCCCATCATGCCCTCTTCCGAAACCGAACTTATCCAAAAACACAAAAAAACACCAAAAAAAAGAGAAAAACAGCAAATCCCCTTCGCTCGTTGTTCCACAACCACTGATCAG